TCTATTTTTGGTGTTAGAAAGGCTTAGGCCCAAGTGGAGGGCAAAGGTTGCATGGTCTTATCATGCACCTAGATATAGCCAATCTAAACCCAAAGATTCCATCCTTGGCCACCAAGTTGCATCTAGGGTTCATTTGCATTTCATTTGGAATGCATTTGCCTACTCCAAATGCAACCCTAGATGTCTCCCCTCCTATAAATACCCAACACCCCACACCTTGTAAATACTTTGGATATTGAATATAAAGAGAGCCTTTAGTGCCTTTATATCTTTCCTTAGTCACCCTTGGCTATTTTCGGCCAAACCCTACCATCTCCACCTTGAGAGAAACAACCCTAGAAGTGGCCTTCATCATCATGAAGTGAGCCAACCCTAGAGTACCATTCTCAAGCATTTCCTCAAACACCTTCTACCCAACCTTCATTTTCGTCCATTCCATCATCATCCACCCTAAAACCTTGGTCCACCTTTGAAGAACTTGATCCTTGGAGAAGGCGTCCTCCTCCTTGCTCATCATCTCAAGTTCATGCAAGTAAGGATGCCATCAAGTGGTTTTTAACTCTGTTGTAGAAAGACCTTAGAGATCACACAACCAAGTGGAATTTTATGAGTGACATGCAGAAGGTACATGTACATGTAGTGTTGTGGACAATTTTTCTTATTTGTTAAATATTTTAAGGATGTAATTTCTAGTTTTGCAATATTATGAAGGACTAATTTGTCTACTTAATTTTTCACATGCAAGATTGATTCCAGCCTTGAAGGAGGTCATGCATGTTGCACCTCACAAATTTTGTGTGACACATTTGTGGTAGAATTTCAGTAAGCAATGGAAGGACAATGAGAGTAAAGCATTTGTCTAGCAATATGCAAGGTCACCTACTGTGTCTAAGTTTGAAGTGCATATACAAAAGCTTAAATAAAAAAAGTGTGGTTGTTTATCTATATCTTAAGAAACGGGGGTTTTATTCATGGTCAAAGGCCTTATTCAAAGAGGATTGTAAGTTTGACAACGCAGTCAATAATAATTGTGAGGTTTTAATACTAAGATTGTAAGTATAGGGCAAAACCTATTTTAACCTATTTGGAGAAAGTTAGATGTTACATAATATAAGAACCTTAACAATAAACAAGATGAAGCTTGCTAGAGACCTAAACATTTAGTTCCAATACATCAAAAGTTTAACTTATTGATTAGTAATTTTTTTTGTTATGACTCAGATTCCTACACATGGACCAAAACTTAAATTGGTCCCTATAATGCACATATGTGCATATAATATAATTTCTAATAAGTATAATATATTTCTACATTATATAATTACCTTTTTTTTTATTAGAACTTTTCTTTGTTCAATATTATCAATGACAAAATCATAAAATCCATTTTGAACAATTGAGAATGTGGTAGGTAAAATTTTGTGGCAGGTAAATTACAAACATGAGAGTTCTTTTTCACTAGTGCACATATGACTAACAATAGGACAATTATATTATGTAGAAAAGTTCTAATATATTTTAAATGTATATCACCATTTTTAAAAATTATAATTATATTTAATTGAATTTGTGAAAATGTGCTATAGCTTAACATTCTAGTGCACACTATACAAGTATATCGTGTTAGCATGCATGTGTAGTAATAACATACAAAAGAAATTGTCTCCAAAGGATTTTTGTGATGTTTGGTTGTCCATGAGTGCATACAATACAACATATTAGTATTTCATCCAACCAACCCATAGTTTCTAGTATTGATAAAGGATTGATTATGTTAGGCTAGTTCTCCTGCCAATTAAGAGGAACTTAGAGAGGCCCAAAATGAAGCGAGGGAAAGATGAAAAAAAAATTGTTCAAAATAACAAGTTAAAAGGAAAATATGTTGTTGTCCAATGCGATAGGTGTGTACATGCAATACATAAGATGCAAAATTGATTTGTGTGCACCTAATACCGATTTGAAGGAAAAGAAGAGAGAGGCTAGAGCAGTAGTTACCCAAGTTCAAAATGTCGAGGTTGAAGCAACACAATAAAAAGCATTGCAGGTGAAATTGCACACCAACAAGCTGAGATGGATTTGTCCTAGATTGCCCCAAATTTTGAATACCCTTAAAATCAAAATGTGAATCATTGATTCCCACCAATAAAATTCATTCCAACACCATGGCTTAATCAACAATGAAGTGAAGACCACACATTAGTGCAACTTAGGGAAAATTTGAGCTTAAGATTTACTGGATATTTACACAAATATTTTTTTTTGTTTACTGATTTTTTTGTTTTTGTTTGGTACATCTATTATTTTGTAATTTGAGCTCAAATTTCAATTCTATTATTATATTTTTTTGGTTTTGTTATTAGATTATTTGAGCTCATAGTTAAGTCGTTATTTTTTTTGTTATTATGTAATTAGAGCTCAAATTTCTCATAAAAAACATATGGTAAGATTCTTGCCTTCTCTAAGTTAGATCCTCCGCATGGTGGTCATGAAATGGAAAAAAAAAAATCTTTGAAATCTTGCATGATTAGAGGATAGAAAGGAAAGTGTTTTCCATAACTTTGGACAATGCAAGTGCCAATGACACAATGGTAACTTTTATGAAAGCACAATTTAATTTTCAAAACAATTTGATTTGTTATGGCTCATATTTTCATGTGAGATGTAGTGCACATATGCTGAACCTCATTGTTCAAGAGGGTTTGGGGGTAGCTAGCGGTGCTTTGAAAAAAATTAGAGAGAGTATAAAATATGTAAGAGGATCGGAAGTTAGAAAGATTGCTTTTAAAGAATGTGTGCTTCAAGTGAAGGGTATTGATACTAAGGTGGGTTTGAGAATGGATATGCCCACTAGATGGAATTCCACTTATGTTATGCTTGATGGTGTAATTAAATACAAACGTGCATTTGGTTGTTTGGCTATTCGAGATAGGAATTATGTTCATTGCCCATCGGATGATGAATGGAATATGGCTGCAAGAATATGCGAGTTCTTGAAGCCTTTTTTTGTCATGACAAATTTAATATCAGGCTCCACTTATCCAACATCTAATCGGTACTTTATGCAAGTTTGGAAAATTTAAAAATTGTTGCGTGAATTTGTTATGTGTGAAGATCTAGTGATTAAAGAGATGACTTCAAAAATGATGACTAAATTTTCAAAGTATTGGCATGATTATTCTGAGATTCTTGCCATTGGTGCTATTCTTGACCGTTTCGGAACGGGCTGTTCCAGTTCAAAATTTTACGTGAATTTTTCAGGCCCAGAATGGGCGTTCCGCTTTTGGAACGGGCCGTTCCGGGTTAGGCAGGCAGAACTCTATAAATAGGGGGTTGGGGGTGTTGGAAAAGCAGGATTGAGAGAGAGGGTCCTAGAGAGAGAAAGAGGAGAGAGAGAAAGAAAAGAGGAAAGAAAGGAAGAGGAATCTAGTAGAGGAGGTTCTGCCAGGGGAGAGAAAAGAGGAGGGAGAGGAGGAGATTCTGCCCGAGTTTCGGTTCTTGTTTAAGGAAGAGGAGGAGGTTCTGCCCGAGTTTTGGTTCAGGTTTATCCAAGTAAGGGTAGTACTTATAAGACTTAATCTAGTATGTATGAGCATGATAGGAATAGTATAATTTTAATATGCTATTTTATGTGGAGATTTTCATTTCATATAATATAATTTGGATCAATTGATGGTTGTTTTGGATATTTAATTATTTATATTATTATTATATTGACAAATTGGCATGGTTATGGTTATGTTTAATTATGGAATATGCTATGTGTATGTGGTTTGGAAAAGTAAATAGGACTTAAAGGAGTAAGGTTATGGTATGGATTAGATCTCTTGGTGAGATCAGGATATAATCTTTGGAAAAATATGGAATTTGGGAATCCCATGGTGAGGATTCCAATGTGGAACTTTTCCAAAGGTTATATAATAAACCACTTCAGATGTTAGGTGGATTCTGAAGTACTCCTCTAAGTATTCTATTTGCTACCGGTATGGGTCTAGGCCGAGTCATACCGATGGATGAGGTGGCCCCACCAGGGTTACGTGACGACGTAATCCAACTGTATATTTTCCATGAGAGGTTAGGCGTGGGACATGGGTTGCTGACATGTTTCACCGTATCAACACTTGGTTTGGATGGTGTTGAGGCCAACATTTGGTTTGGATGTGTTGGTTACATCATGGATTATACAGTGGTGTGACTTTGTTTTGGATGTGGAATATGTATACATATGGTATGGATTGTATACATTGGTTATGGATTCTTTATTATCATAAAATATGTATGCATTGGCATGGATGTGTATACAATATATTTTGGATTGGTCTATATTTAGCTTGGAAATGACTTGTTGGTCTGTATAAATACTGTGGATAAATATCTGTTTTGATGATATTTTATTATGATGTACTATGAATGGTTTTATATGTGCTAACTCTTATATTTCCATGATGGATTGTGATGATCTCACTATGTGGGGGAGCAGATTAGGTGTGAGGCCTTGGGATAGCAAGGAGTCTTTTGGATAGCTGCTTTGAGAAGTGGCTAGGTTTAGAGCTTGATCAGCACCTAGGGTGTCTTATTTTGATGTCTTCATGACATTGTAATTATATTACCTTTTTGGATTACTGTATAACCTTACTGAGGATGACTCTACTATAAAATTATGTTATACATATTTTAGAAACAATTTTATATGTTATTGTATATTTACACTCTAGCGTAGCTAGCCCTTGTTCTATTTTCTTTAATATATATTATTTATCTTTGGTTGGTTCTGGATGTGACGGCCTAGGGTGGGTCGTTACAAAAATTGCCACATTGAATTTTTTAAAATTTAATAAAATAAATTGAATATTTTAATAAAGGAATCAAATTAAACCAAATATATAAAATGAAGATCAAAAGAATAATTTAACTTTTTTTTAATTATACGACTAAAAATCAATTTTAAATTTAAAAAATTAAAATAATTCATTTTAATTTTGAAAAAATAACATTATATTTAATTCTAATATAAATATTTTTCTAAAACCAAGTTTGATTGCCGTCAAAATCATATTTAAAATACCAATTAACGTGATTTTAATTTTAAGTAAACTTCATGTTTGATTGCACCTTGCGTAATTAATTTTTGGTCCACAACAGAGTCTAGTTTAAGAACCTTAGAAGTTTTGTATTGGATAAAAAAAATGTATACTTAACTTTACTAACTAGCATCAAATATAAATTACACCACTCCAAAAAATCAGTGTGAACCAAAATTAATTTTGTTCGAAATCAATATTGTTGATGCGAGTAAATTTTAGCTACACTTATTTTAAAAAAATTTCTCACCATTGACTTAAGTTTATTAAAAATAACAAAATTTAGTAAATTGTACATCTCATTTAATAAAATAGAACTTCCTAATTTAATGATAAGACCTATGAACTTTTATAAGTTTCAATAAAATAAAAGAATATTAGAAGAAAAAAAAAGTATTAGAAACATTTTCAACAATTTTCTATTCTCAACATTCATCCAAATACACAAGAAATCAAACAATTTTTTAAAAAAAATGGGCTAAATTTTTCTTTTAAGTCATCTATAAATATGATTATTTAATTTTTAATTTCATAATTTTAGTCTCTTAATTTTACAAAATTTATAATTTTAGTTATTTTCTTAAATATTCATCTATTGATCATTAAAAAAAATTGTGACATTGGTTGTATCTTAAATTTAACTCATTATGTAAATAACATAATAATTAATATTTAATAATAGTCGTATCTAATTATAATTTTAGTTCTTATTTATATCTCATTTTTAATTCATTTATCATGAAATAAAAGATAAAAGTAAAACTTATCATAAATATTGACATAAATTATCATGTAATCTAATTAATGTTAAATCATACTCTCTCCAAACCTATATATAAACAAAAAAAAAGTGTAAATTTTTTAAACTCAAATATAAACAAATTTCAATCAAATCAACTTTACTTAATGCTTTTAATCCAAAAATAACCCAAGATAATAAATGAGAACACTATCTATCATAAATGTAATTAATAATATTTTAGTAAATTTAGTGTACGTTCTATATGTGTACCATCCTGGATAGAATCCAATATGGTTAAATCGATATGGATGAGTTGTTGGGGAGGTGTTTCACATTCACCCCCTACACTTTTAGACTTGGAGTTGGTACACAAGTATATTATCCCAAATAGAATTTGAGATAGTTTATCGAGAAAGTCTAATATGAATAATAAATCACTATATATTTTATCCAAGGTGGATTAAAGTAGAAATTATGACTTGATGTACTAATGAAGATAATAATAGAGGGTTTAGGACGAAAATATGACTTAAGGTGCTTAATATGTGATTTATGAATCATGTCCTAAGGAGGTCAAACTTAGACCGACCTAGTGAGATAACAGCCAAAGAGAAGAGAATAGAGAATAGAGAATATGAATCTGATATATTGAACTGCTCTCATAACACATACAATAAGAGTATTTGTACAAAAAGATAATAACAGCTAAACTAACTTAACTAATATATAATCTATTCCAGCTCAGCTAACAGACTATATCTGTTATGATAGAGAGATGACTTAATATCCTTTTTATCCCCCTTCAAACTCAATGTGGATTGTTTATCAACAATGAGTTTGTCCCTTAGTTCTAGGAATATTGCAGAGCTTGGAGACTTAGTTAAGAGATCTGTTACTTGAAATCTTGCTGGAATATGAAAAACTTGAATTTGTCCCTGAGCCACTCTCTCTCACAAACCATAAATCTAATTCAAAATGTTTTATTTTAGTATGCATGACTGGATTGGCGGAGAGAAGGATGACCACTTGATTATCGCACTAGATCAGAGGTGATTGTTTACTCCTGATATTAAGTTCGAAGATGAGATTCTGAATATATTGAATTTCTGCAACCAAACTTGCCAGACTTCTGAATTCTACCTCTATGTTGGATCTAAAGACAACTCTTTGCTTCTTTGCCATCCAAGATACAATATTGGATCCAAGATACACACAATTTCTAGATGTTGATCTCATGTCTTCTTGATCACTTGCCCAATCCGAGTCACAATAAGCAAGTGTGTCAATATCATTGGACTTCTTATAGTGTAAGCTATGTTGAGAAGTACCTTTAAGATATCTTAGTAGCCTCTTTGTTGCTTTCCAATGAATCTCAAGAGGATGGTGCACGAATTGACTCAACTTATTTACTGTGTAAGCAATGTCTAGCCGAGTAATTGTAAGATACTGAAAGGCTCCAATTACTGACCTATAAAGACTAGGATCCTGACAAATTATAGTGCCATCATTTGTGAGCTTTGAGGAAGGTGCCATTGGAGTTTTGATAGGCTTGGCATTAGACATGTTGAGTTTGTCAAGTATATCAATTAGATACCTGGTTTGAGAAAGATGAATGCCTTTTGCATTATCAAAGCTAACTTTTATTCCTAGGAAATGATGAAGTTTGCCCAGATCTTTTAGAGGAAAGGATTGATAAAGAGTCTGAATCGAGTTTTGTATGGCTATAGAAGAGTTGTTGATGATGATTATATCATCAACATATATAAGAATGTATATGGAAGTGGTTCTAGAAGTAAAAATAAACAAAGAGTGATCTGATCTAGCTTGTTAAAAACCCAACCAGAGTAAATTGATAGTAAATTTCTGAAACCAAGCGCGTGGAGCTTGTTTGAGTCCATAGATTACTTTTCTTAATTTTCAAACAATATTTAAAATCCCTTTATGAAATCCTTGTGGTTGTTGCATGTATATTTCTTCCTTTAGATCACCATGAAGAAAGGCATTATCCACATTAATTTGGTGGATTGGCTAGCCTTTAGAGACTGCAAGAGCAAGAACCACTCTGATGCTGATAGGCTTAATGACAAGGCTAAAAGTCTCTGTATAATCCAGCCTCTACTATTGATTGAAACCTCTAGCCATTAATCTGGCTTTGTGTTTGAGAACGGAGCCATCTGATTTATACTTGTTTTTGAATATCCATTTGCAAGTTATTACTTTTCTGCCTAGAGGTAAAAAAACTAAATCTCAAGTATAATTCTTCATTAACGCGTTGTATTCATCTTGCATGGTAGTAGTTGGTTATGAGGTAGCTAGAAGAACCCGAGGCTTGAAAATTCCATCTTTAGCTCTGGTGGTCATAGGATGATGATTTGTTGCATGTGTGTCAGGTTGTGATTGATATGAAACGTCTGTGTTAGTCGATGATGGACTGGAGTGAGGGGGAGATGTGACATGATCAGCATTTGGAATGTTAGAAGTAATAGTGTTGGAAGCAGACTAATAATTAGGTTGAATAGGTAACTGAGACGAAAAGGTAGGTATACTCGGTACTCTTTGTGATAGTTGAAAAGGTGACTTTCCTGCAATGTTGTTAGTACCAAACATAGACATGCCAGGAAATGTGTCTTCATCAAAAACCACATTTATGGATATAATAATTTTTCCATCAAGAGTAAAACATTTGTAGCCTTTATGTTGCATGCTATAGCCAAGAAAAAGACACTGAGATGATCAAAAATTCATTTTATGATTGTTAAGAGGCCGTAGGTGAGAATAGCAGGCACATCCAAAAGGTTTTAACAACATGTAGTTAGGCAGTTTCTTAAACAAAACTTCATATGGAGATTTTAGTCCAAGAGTGAATGTTGGAAGCCTATTTATGACATGAATAGAAGTACTAAACGCATCTGACCAAAACTCATGAGGAAGGCCAGATGAGGATAAAAGAGTTAAGCCAATTTCTGTGATATGTTTATGTTTCCTTTCAACTGTCCCATTTTGTTGGTGAGTATGCAGACAACTGAGTCTATGTATGGTGCTATTTGCATTAAATAACTTTGTGAGGCAAGTGAATTCTTTTCCCCCATCAGATTGGAACATTTTAATTTTTCTTCCGAATTGATTTTCAACCATAGTTTTAAAATGAGTAAAATGATGTGCAGTTTTAGATTTATTATGCATAAAATAGATTCATGTATACTTAGAATAGGCATCAATAAAATGAACGTAGTATCTAAAACCTTCTCTTGAAATATAGTGAGCAGGACCCCAGACATCACTATAAACAAGTTCAAGAGGAGCATTATACATAGTGGTTGAATCAAAGAATGGAAGAGCATGTGATTTTCCAATGCAACAAGATTTGAAAATAAAAGAGTCTTTATTATTATTAACAGTCATAGGAATATTACAAGTTTTCATAATAGCTTCTATTATTTTCCTAGAAGCATGAGCAAGTCTATTGTGCCATACATCATAGGATTTCTCAGATCTTTGAACATTCAGGACAATAGAAGTAGTAGGAACATAGGCACCAAAATTCGCATAAGCATCAGGTTTCAGAAATTTCACTTCATCAAAAACATACAATCCATTTTTAAGGTTCCCTTGTAGAAGAATTTCCTTTGAATCCTGAGATTTAACAAAACAATGATTGGTGTGGAATTCAAGATATACTTCATTATCTTTACAAAATTTAGATACATTTAGCAAATTTTTGGTTATTTGGGGAACATGTAGATGATATTTCAAAGTAAACACTTTAGAAGAGGTAAGACTATGAAAAAATGAAGTACCTGTATGATTAATTCCTATGGCTTGACCATTTCCCATATGTATCTTGTCTTGGCCTATAGTAGTAGTTCTTGAACCGAGATTATTCAAATATGGTGTGAGATGATTAGTGGCTCCCGAATATGGATACCACTGATCATCATACGGCATGGTTTGAGAACCAGCAAATATAGCTTGCATCTGTTGTCAGTTTCCTGAGTTGGGAGAGTTAGTATTATAACTAAAATTGGGTTTAGCATATTGTTGATCATACATGTGCTAATAGTAAAAGGCTATATGGCCAATCTTGCCATAGACTTTGTTGAGATTCATTGGTGATGAATCAAACTTAGCTTTGAAGTTCTGAGAGTTTTGATGATAACAAAGGACACAAGCCAATAACAAAGGACAAGCTAATCAAGAAAGGAAGACATGAAATAATACAATATGTAATAGGAGTAGCTTATTTGTTCTTATATGTTGTGTTGCCTTGTTGAGTTTATTTTTGCATGAGTATGTTTTTTGCATGAGTTAATCTTAATCTAAATTGACTAAGAGTCAGTATGATGATGATTTAAATAACTCGGAAAGTTTTCTAAAGTGTGAAATCGAGCTTTTGAAAACTAACTCAAAATAATCGATTATCATTAAAAATAATATATTATTCCAGCAAGAGGTTCAGGGAACCTTGCTGTAATAATCGATTATCTGAGAAATAATCGATTATTCCAGGAAGTACTCTCTCTCGATTATCCTGCAAAATAATTGATTATTCTGTTCTTGGGTGATTTCAAGAATTCATGAAAAACAAAATAATCGATTATTCTTAAAAATAATCGATTATCTAGGTCTGGAAAACTTTATAAATAGTTTTCACACTTTAAAACAAGTACAGAGAGATGAACAAAAAATAAAAGAGAGTAGAACTGATTTTGTGAAGTCTTTGTGACCTTCTTGGAGTGTTTTCTTTGTAAAACCAAGAAGAAAAATATTTTGTGAAATGCTTTGAAAGAGATCATCATCACCACTACATTCTTGGAAGAGAAAGATTAAGATTTGTCAAGAATTCACAGTCTGATTTGTTCAGCTTCCAGGTGAATTCGTTCCTTTAATTCTTTGTTTAAAGTGTAAAGAAATCTTGAATAGGTGTCTCAAGTGGTAAGGAATTCTTGTAGGGGGTTTCTACAAGAAGTGCTTTCTTAGGTGCAAGAAAGTGTCTATCTTGAGTGTTGAAGTGTGTGCATGTGTGGTATGCTTGTAAAACTTCTTCATTGAGATAGTGGAATAAATCTTGATCAGGTTATGATTGAGCACTGGATGTAGGTCACGTGTGGAGTCGATGAACCAGGATAAAACACTTTGCACTTTTCTTTCATCCTTATCTCTTGTATTGATTAATCTTTAATTGAATTTTACAATGACTAATTCTGAGTAATTTGCTTGCATGGATAAAACTGATTAAAAGTGAATATTGTCATTGCATACATGTTATTGTGAGTGCTTATTCAATAAAGATTAAACAAGAACTCATATAGAAGTCATTCCTATATACAAGTAGTTCAATATACTTCTTTGAAAGGTGTCTTAGAAAAGTTTTGAATGAAATAAAGATTCTTAAACTCTGAAAAAAATTTAAGTGTCATTAAATCCAATTCCCCCCCCCCCTCTTGGGTTGAGCCATTTTTTCTTTCAATTTGTATCTAGAGCAAGGTTCTTGAGTGTTAATCAAGATTTCAAAAATGACCAACAGCAACCTACCTCATGGTGTGGGTGTTTCTATTCATAGACCTCCTATTTTCAATGGAGAGAATTATGTTTATTGGAAAATTATAATGAGAATTTTCATTGAAGCAATTGACATTGTTATATGGGATGCAATTGAAAATGGACCCTATATTCCTATGACTAAGGATAGTGATGGGAAGAGAGAAAAACATTCGAGTGAGTGGAGTGATGATAAGAAAAAGAGAGCTCAATATGATTATAGAGAAAAGAACATTATAACATCTGCATTGTCTATTGATGAGTTTTTTAGAATTTCTCAATGCAAATCACCTAGAGAAATGTGGGACACACTACAGGTTACTCATGAAGGAACAAGTGATGTAAAAAGATCTAAGAAACATACTCTTATAAGAGAATATGAATTGTTGAGAATGAATCATGGTGAATCAATTTCTAATTTTCAAAAACGTTTTACACACTTGATAAATCACCTTATTGATCTTGGCAAGAAATTCGAAGAAGAGGAATTAAACTTGAAGGTTCTACAATGCTTGGATAGATCTTGGCAAACAAAGGTTACAACAATTGAAGAATCAAAGGATCTAGCCTCATTGACACTTGCATCACTCTTTGGAAAGCTAAGAGAGCATGAGCACAAGCTGCACATTTTTGATGAAATTGAACTGCAAGATAAAAAGAAAAAATGAGTATCTCTAAAAGCCTTAAAATCAGTCAAAGGCAAAGAGAAATGTGAAGATTCAAGCTCTGAAGATTCTGATTCAAAAATTTCAATTTGCTGGTGAAAAAGTTCAAAAAATTCCTAAGAAAGAAGAAGAGATCTCCTTACAAGTTCAACAAGAAGGCAACTAAGAAAGATGAAGGGAGCACATCCTCTTACAAGTGTTTTGAGTGTGGAAAGCCTGGCCATCTAAAAGCTGAATGTCCCAATCTTCTAAAGAAGCAACAAGAGGAAAAGAAAGGGAAGAGAAATAACAAAGGTAAAAGAGCCTACATAGCTTGGGAAGACAATGACCTAAGCTTAACAAGTAGTGAATCTGAATTTG